AGTAGTTTCATGCGGCATTGGTGCGCCTGCGACGCCAGCGAAGGCGTTCAAGGCTGAATTCCGCGACGTGGAAGCACCGAAGGACACGGCGACGCCACTGGACCTGACGGACTTCAACCTTGAGCGATCAGGGCCGCGATCGATTCAAGGCTGAGCGATCGACGCGGCGACCAGGATTCTTCACCCTGCCCACGAGAGCTGACGGGAAAAGGGACGAAGGGACACATCTAGGGAAACAAAGCGAGCAACCAGGATGAACCGCGAGAGATTTCTGGGAGCAAGGGGGTGGCCTTGGAAGGCCTCTTCGGGCCATCCCTAGGGGCCGCGTGGGGGCGAGGGGAAGAGGAGGAGGAGGAAGAGAAGGAGGAGGAGGTGGAGGGATCCAAAGACTGTGATCCCGGTTTTATTTTCTCGTCTGCCATGGGGGGTCCTCGATTTCGGCCCTTTCCCAGGAGCCTTCAAAATCGCCTCTTGAAGCTCTCCTGGGGCTCTTTGGGAGGGCATTGGAGCTCTCTTGGGGCTCTTTTAGGGGTTTTGGGGCCCTTTTAGGGCCCTCTTGGGGCTCTGTTGGGGCCGTCTTGGGAGCCCTGGAAGGCCTCTTGGGGCCATCTTGAAGGCCATCGATCAAAGGAGGAGATGGTGTAACGCTCAGTTCCCCCCAAAGAGGCCAAAATGGGGCCAACACCTGAGTAAAACCAATCATTTTGGCTTCCTCGCCGAGGCCGTTTTGGACGCCCTGACACCTCGCGGAACCCCCCAAAGAAGTCCAGGGGAGGGGGTAGGGGGAGGGGTCAAGACCCCCTCCCCGCCCGCAAGCCGTCTCGCTCACTCCCACCCGCCCTCCCAACACATACTTAGCACCCGAGTCTGGCCCGAGCCTCCGCATATTCAGCAGTCGTCTTTGGATGGGCAGCTACTGGGGGCCAGTCCGCCGCCGCCGCCGCCGCCGCCGCCGCCGCCGCCGCTGCCCGCCGCCGCCGCCGCCGCCGCCGGCCTGCCGCTGCCAAACCGCCGCCCGCAGACCGCCGCGCCACCCGCTGCCATAACGCGCCGCAGCCGCAGCCGCTGGCCGCCACCGCCCGCACGCCGCCGCGCCGCAGCCGCCCGCCGCACGCCGCGCCCCCGCCGCCGCCGCCGCCGCCGCAGCCGCCGCAGCCGCCGCCGCCGCCGCCGCAGCCGCCGCAGCTGCCGCCGCCGCCTCCAGCTGTACTCTGTATTGTTTTTTGACAAGGATGGTGGGGGGGGGCCGCATCGGGTTGGCTGCGCATGTTCCGAATCTGGAGGCAGAATGTGTTGTGTATTTTTTACAAGGGATGGTGGGGGGGTGTTGTCATGGACTCGGGTTGGCCCCCAGTCGCCTGGGGAAGGGGGTATTTATTAATAGGGAACAGTGATAAACCCCTCCCCGTAGGGGAAGAGGTTTTTTTTGGTGGAAGAGGGAAGAGGGATCTCGTTAGACCACCTGCGCCCAGAGGGCTGGTGGGATTTTTGCGCGTGCCAATGCCGCGCGAACTTACTGTACGAAGACTGACAGCAAATCCTGTCCATTTTGAACAGGGGTCGCTGTCTGCGTCGCTACGGCCGCTGTCCATATTTGAGACGGAAGGTCGCCTGCCCAACAGCGGCAGCTGTCGTTTTTGGACAACACTTTCGCAGGCGATGTTTCCCTTTCCCTTTCCTCCTCCTCCTCCTCCTCCTCATCCTCCTTCTCCTCCTCCTCCTTCTCCTCCTCCTCCTCCTGCTCTTCTCCCTCCTCCTCCAGAGCCAGGGGGGCCAATCCTCCTCCTCCTCCTCCTCCTCCTCCTCCTCCTCCTCGTCCTCCTCCTCCTCCTCCTCGTCCTCCTCTTCCTCGTCCGCCCGAAAAGCTTGGCCGTTCAGAAAAAGGGGGAAACTCTGGGATACATCCCACCCGGGGGGGGGCTGATCGGACGCACCCCTGTCGAGGATGGCCGCCCCCCCGTCGTATGTCCCAGAGTCGGGCCCCAAAGTTCGGGTAGAGTCGAGAGCCTCCCAAGAAGCCTGGGTGGGGGTCGGTATACTTCGTTTACGCTTGCTGTTGCCGGCGGCGAGCCTGGGGGTGGAATGGAAAAGGGGCGGGCCTTCTCTCGGAAGGCTCGGAAGGTCCTTGGGCCTTCGGAGAAGTTTTCTGAGCCTTCGGAGGCGGAGGCGGATGAGGAGAAGGAGGAGGAGGGGGAGGAGGAGGGGGAGGAGGAGGAGGAGGAGGAGGAGGAGGAGGAGGAGGAGGAGGAGGAGGCGGAGTAGGAGGAGGAGGACACTGGAAGCCTCTCAGAAGGCCTCCGGCCTTCTGGGGAGCCCTGCTGCCTTCTGAGAGGGCCCTTTGCTTCTCATTGCCCGCCCTCGCTCGTCGCCGACGTTGGGCCTCGTGCCCATTTTTTCTGTACCCCTTCGCGGGCGTCCAGACAGGAGGCCCGTCGGGCGCGCCCGTGCGCAGCGCCAAGCGGGCGGACGTCGCCCGCGTGGCCATGGCGGACGAGGACATGGCCTACCTCGATTTGACCGCTGCGGTTCGATGTCGCCTTCGATCGGCCCGATCCGCTTCGGTTCCGATGTGCCGACGGTCACTGAGATCCGATGCTCCCAGAAAGTTAGCGGGCGGTGTTTGGCCGTCTTCGGCTTCTGGGTGCTCTCGGCGGGCCTCGGGAGCGTCAACAAGCGACTCGGGACGAAAAGCCGGCCCTGGGGAATTGGTCCAGACCTCCTGGGCCCACGCATTGAGACAAATTGGAGCAGCCAGATGTCTGGGATCCGATGCAGCCCGATACCCGCATGGCGCTGTGGTGCATCCTGGCGCGTCCGATCCGATTCGGTCCGACTCTGTGCCGCGACGCGACCCGCTCCGACGCACATTCCGATTCGATCCGATTTCCCGATTCGATGCTGATTGACTTTTCGGACCTGGCTAGGACGAGGACAAATCCGTTCCAGAGCGTTCCCCAGCGCTCTCAGAGCGTTCCGGAACGCTCCGAGAAGGCCGCGGCGCCCGAGACATCCCCCAGAGCCGCCAGATCTCGGAGCTTTTCTCGATTCACGTGTCCTCCCCCGAAGTGTGATCCTCGCCCTGGCTTCGTCCTACGTAGACCCCGACGAGGAGGCAGCGTCGCACGAGCACGCCGCCCACGCGGGGGAGCCGAAGGCTCCCGTGGACCTGGAAGCAGCGCCGCCGGCGCTGCCGAGGATCCTGGCGATGGGCGAGGAGGACTGGAGGCGGGTCGTGCAGCAGATGCGCAGGGAGGTCCACGCCGCGGAGGACGCGTGGAGCGACAAGCTCCACCGGAGGCGAAGGAGCTCAGAGGAGGAGGAGGAAGAGGCGGAGAAGGAAGAGGAAGAGGAGGAGGGCGGAGGAGGAGGAGGAGAAGGAGGGGGAGGAGGAGGAGG